TTTACAAACGACTTATGGCAAGTTCATGCAGACCTTGAACTAACCCCGCAACAAAGCAAGGTGATCAATAGTAAAGGTAAATAATATCTAATTTTATACACATCCGAAAACTTCGATGGCCTTAGCAGAACACGCAATGTTTGAATAAAATCAACGAACGGCATTTATGAAATTGAATAAATAATTTTTTTCTATGTGAACCGTAAAAGGAGTTTATATGCCGAAACGAGAAGTAATTCAAATACACAGAAGAGCGTCACTATGGATTACTTCTATAATTAGTAATCATTGGAGCTAAGGGTTGCCAATCAGAGGGTCTAGGTTCAATACACACCTCGGGCAGTTTGATGTCAAGCAGTAGTAACATCAGTTATTACTTGAAAATATAGATAGCAATATGTTTCCTCGTAATAGGGCCCTTGCCATGGATTGGTACATCAATAAATAATTCATAACTATTACAGAAATTGTAAGAGTAATAATCATTACATAATTTAACTTTAATAATAAAACCTTAAGTCCTGATCCCTAGTCAAATAATATATTCTGAAATATCGGTACTAACTTAAGTTCGTCTTATTGAAATCTCGAAACAAGAGACATAAAAACATGCAAAATGTTTTTTTTTTATGCATAGATTTAGTGCCGATCAAAATAATATAATTTTTTAAGACAATATGCATTTAAAGAGTTTATCTCCTATGAGACATCTCTTTTTTTATTTTGGACATTTCATTCAAGATCGTATGGCCATTTATTTTTCATTTTTCAAGTAGGAGGTTCCTCACTTACTTCTTTTGAATATTTGTCTGGGTGACCTGGTAATTTTTCGTGGTATTTTTTGCTTATTTATTTTATTACTTTATTAATACGTTCACAATGCATCTTAAAATTTTCGATCGTGCTCATGAATTACTTGATGCAAAATGTAAGACAGTTTTTTTTACTAATTACTGAAATTTATTGAATAATTGCAAACATTAAATAACAAAATAATAAGTGAAGAAATTAGATCCGAAAAAGTTATATTGAAATGATCCAAATAAAATGCTGTTTTAGAACCTAGAACTACAGGTTACACCTCACCAACCAAGTGATCTAATATGATTCTGATTGGTCTACAACTCGGGATGAATAATTATACATTTAATGAAAATTATGTATTAAAAATATGTGTAAAATATTCTCTCAACTATTGAGTTGTTTCTCCTACATGCCACTATAATATACAATGTCTCTATTACGGCTGACAATTGCAAATTCCACAAATTTACTAAATGTCCTTAACTGGGCAGTTGTAAATATAGTGGTGAATAAAAAATAATTATTATTTTTACACACACACACACATATATATATATATAGATATATATATATATATATGTATATATATAAAAGACATTTTCCAAGTAAGAAGAGTTTTTAACGTCTATTGTAAGTACTTGTACTACAAAAGTTTCTACCTGCCAATCCAAAAAAATACCTTTTTCATGAAGGCAAGTATACATAACACTATACAAAATACAAATTTTAGAGAAAGTCTCTATAACTATAACAAAAAATACAGTAAACAAAAATATTAACCAAATTTGCTTTTTAGGGACAAATGGTATGAAATGTGCGTTTATAAAATCTTGAATTTAATTATTTAATGATAAATTTGTAGTAAATAATTAAGTTCATAATTGATGAAAACTTATGGCAAAGAAAATAAACATGAAGACAATAAACCAAGAACTACAATCAACGCCTTACCACGCAGGAGATCTAATATGATTCTGATTGGTCTACAGACCAGGATGATTTAATGTACGATTAATAAAATTATTATCATAAATATGTAAAATACTCTCAGAATGAAATATATAGTATATAAAAGTCTGGAAACACTGACGTATGAAGTATCAATAAATTATTAACAAAGATCCATGTCTATAGTGCATAAAGTCGACATGAATATTGCATTATTTGAGATTTTGCAACTTACTAGTGAATGAAACTGTAAGCAACGATTAGCATAGAGACAAAAGGATTTACGATTTATATTATATGCTTTTAGTATTGTTTCGACGTCGAACAAAAAGTGCTCTTGCTACACACAGAAATGCATTAACCCAGTTGCCTGACAGTCTAATTCACACAACTCTCATTAACATACATTGCCGACTGCCTTCAATTGTATTTAGCAGACAATAAATTCTTTTTTATGTATTTAATTAATTTTTACAAAATTGCGTTTCATTTGGGTTTTTAAATGAATTTAGCCTTGGTTTAATTTTTGACAGAGTTATTGTAAAAAAAAAAAAATTAAAAAGCTTCTTAAGCATCAATATTGTAAATATTGTCACAATTTACAAAATAAATAATGATACAATAAAGTTCAGAATATTTAACATACATTAAGAATATTGTATATAGGGGGCGTCTATTAATCACGTGAGGTTTTTTGGGACAGGGGAGGTTGATAAAAAATCACAAAATATCACGTGGGGGAGGGAAGGGTATATATATATATTTTTTAATAATTTACAATTTTTTCTCGTAAAAATACACGTGAGGTTTGGTGGGGGCGGGGGGTTATCACCACGTATAGGTATATCACCACGTATCACCAAGGGGGAGGAGATCCAAAAATCCTTCACAAAATAAATAATATGATACAATAAATCGCAGAACATTTAATATACATTTAGAATATTTTATATAGGGGGGCGTCTATTAATCACGTGAGGTTTTTTGTGGTAGGGGGGGGTAACAAAAAATCACGAAATATCACGTGGTGGAGGGAGGGGTATAGTAAGAAATCACGTGTATTTATTTTTTACCTGAATATTTTTAAAAATATCCAACATTTTCAATTTACAATTTTTTTCGTAACTAAAAATACACGTGAGGTTTTGTGGGGATGGGGGTAGTTTTGAATATCACCACGTATCACCAAAGGGAGGGGGTCCAAAAATCCTTCCGATCACGTGATTAATGAACGCTCCCTAAGCAGCAAACTCGTATTTGTTTAGAAAAAATGGCAATTCCTACATGTCAGGGATTCTTAAACTATGGGTCGCGACCCGAAGTAGGGTCTCGTAGCAAAATTTTACGGTCGTGAAAGATTTTAATGACAAATATCTAACGCAACTACTTAAATATATTAGAGATTATAATCTATAAAATTATAATAAATAAAATTTCATAATTTTTTGTGCAATTTTTAATTTTAGCTTTTTGTATGTTAAAAAATGAACTGTAAAGCTATAATTTCATATGCGTATGTATATATGTATTTGTTACCTAATAAATACATCATCATAATAAATCATATTAATTTTTTGTTCTTTTATATTTGTCTGGGGTCGTCAAAACACTCGAAGTTTAAGAATTTTGGTCTAAATATATTCAAATATAAATATTTAAAAAAATTAACACGTTAATTGACATGTCAGTCATGTGTTTTGACGCTAAAAAAATTTATATAAGCCATGCATAGACCTTATACAATACATGGACTGCTAGTTGAGCGCATAAAAAGTGTCAAAAGATGTTCTATGGTATGAGGGCATACGAGGGTAATTTTGCGGCCGAGATATGTCAAATACGAACACGAGCTTTACCGAGATTATTCGAATGCACTTGATCGCTTAAATTTTACAGTTACTTGGGTTCACGTGATGTTTGATCGCTCGGGTTTTTAAACTAAAAGAGGATAAAAATATACCTGTTATAAAATTGTTAAAAGTAAAATGTCTTCTAAAATGTGTTTGGTCTGTGGTAAAGTTCCTGATTGCAGTAAAACCTGTTCTGAATGCTTCGCAAGTATTCCGGGAAATTCGACATTCATCGATATAAAAAATCGAGGATATCTTTCATATCCTTCCAATGCAATGTTTAAATTATGTTTATATATAGAAACCCAAATTCGAAATTCTTTAAATTTAATGTACAAAAGTTCATATGAAAGCACGATTCTCCGAAAGTTGAATGACTTGGGACTTGCACATTTTTTTAGATCAAGCCATTTCCAGCAATTTGTCCAGCACTATCATGACCTTATCAACTTTGTCGCAAAAATGTATTTAACAATTAGAATGCACCATGAAGAACATAAAAAAAGCAAAGTTGATAAATATGTACGCCACTTTCACACAAAAATTGTGCTTTTTAAACATCAATAACAAATATATCGCATTTAAACAAATATTTCATTATTGCTTTCTAATTTCCCATAATAGCTCTAGCCAACTGTTCTTATTTTCAGTGAATTTTATAATACGTAAAATATTTTTTTAATTTTTTTTTATTTTTCTTAAACACTTTGTATAACTAAAATAAATAAATAAATACATAAATAATTCATTACATTCATTAGTTTAACATAAATTGTATATTATATAATATTTTCCCAACAATTTCGAACACAAGGACTTTCATTTGACGTTCAAGTGATCGAGTTTGACATATCTCGGCCGCAAAACTACCCTCGTTTGCCCTCATACCATAGAACATCTTTTGACACTTTTTTACTTGAGAAATGTATGGGGATTAGCAGTCCATGAAATTGTATAAGGTCTATGAAGCCATGTCAGACATATATGTCAGACATGCACAATTTGGTAGCTTAAAAAACAAAATTTTAATATAGAGCCATGTCAGTCATATATGTGAGACATAAAAAATAGTGTCATTCCAGCAATTATGCTAAAAAAATGTTTTCTTTGATACAACTAAATTTTCTAAACAATGACATTTATGAAAATGTTTCTATCGTGGCGATTAACGTGTCAAATTATAAATATAAATATAAAGTTTATATAAACAGAAGCACGTGACATTAAAATTGCAGCTAAAATTTTTAATTCAGATTTAGTGATTAATTTGAGATATTAAAAAAGTGAAATGGTGTAAATTTTCAAATAAAAATATCACACAAACTAGTTATTTGTTTATTAAAATAAAGCAAAAATTTTAGTTAAATAGGTTATGTTTTATAAATATTAAAGACAAACCTTAAAATATCCTCCTTGGTACAAAGTATCAGGGGGTCCAAATATCGCAACTTCCCATTCAAATAAATTTTCTTCACCCACTAATTTTACCCTAAAACCCTCCACTGGTTCCTCTTGTAGACTTTTGTATTCTAGAGCTAATGCCCTAAGTGCTGAACTATTAGGTACAATCGACATTCTTATTGTTTTTAATAGCTTATTTGCAAATTTGACAAAAACACTTCACTATAATAAAATATCTACGATTCGATTTTGAAAATAATTTGATACAGTCAAGTAGACATCATACGCACTAGACGCTGTGCGTTTTCATTGAAAAATACACACCCGTAAAGGGGGATATATTAATTGTAGTTTTGAGAACACAATCCTTCGATGATTTTGTGTCACTTATCACTATTTTAACACTTAATATTTAGCTTAAGAAATAACAGAACAAATTTTTACAAGCGTAAATGTTGCAGGTAGAAAAGTTATTATTAGTCTGTGTCGAAACTCGAAACAGCTGTTCTGTAAGTATCGAATGCGAACGAAGAGCGAGATGCGAGCAGACAGACTCCAGACCAGCGACTCGGAACGAATGCGAGTTTTCTGTGCGATGGTGGCGGGCTCTATACATATTAATACAAACTAACGGATCGAGTTATTTGACAAGATAAATTTTATATTTCAAAATATTATATTTCTAAATAATTAATCTTAAATAAACATTAGCAAGCATTATTCTCTAGATTATGTATATTCCAGGATGGCAAGTAAACATTCGATTTACGAATTTTGCAAAAAGAGCTTCTCCAGTTTGACAGCTGTCAAAATTTGACAGATATTGTCCAATTAAATACAATAAATGTAACAATATTGTCAAATCAGAGAGAAAACGTTTGTGAAATATAACAGAATTGTTGAATTTAAGATAAAAGTCTTATAAAACAATTTTTATTATAAGTTTCAAGTTTTGTATATTCTGCAAATTGAAAAGCGCGCCCTATCTATTTCACAGACAGCTGAGTTCATATTAGTTTACATACAAAATGAACGTAGACAGTGCAATTGTCAACTAAGATTTATAGTATTTGCAGAATACCATAAATAAACAATAAAAATATAATATTACGATGTCTGATGAAGAAGATATGAGAGATTTATTACCTGATAAAACAGCAAATAATCACAATGATTCTTTACAACGCCAAGCCAAACAGCAATCAAAAATGAGTGCTTTACAATACATACATATGGCTATTTTAAGTAGTTTGATAGGTTTTTTATTTGGTTATGAAGCAGGATTAGGGGTAGATAATTTAGTGAAATTAAGATACACTATCACCCTTGATTGTACTGAAGAAAATGCCGTAATAACATCTTGGATTATAGGGGCTCTGTTTTCATCTTTCATCGGAGGTATATATTTATAAATAATTGGTTCATAGTGCTGTTATGATTTCAATATTTATTGTTTTAACTAAAAAGTTTATAGTTAAACTAAGGAATTAGTCAACACCACCAAGATCATCAATTTACAAATGCATGCAGTATGATATTCAATTGTTGTACTCATATTTTACCAAATTTGTTCTAACAACAAATTTTTATATTAGGATCATTGGTCAATAAATTTGGTGCAAGAGCTGTACTTTCATTCTGTTCTTCGTTATTGTTTTCTTGTTCACTTATGAGCTCTCTAACGGAATCATTTATAATATTTTTGAGCTCAAGAATTCTTGCTGGATTTGCTGGTAAGTGTTACTATATTATTTATTTATTTGCTTTATTCTTACCTAGCAATTTTTTCCAACATATTTTGCAAACCTAGAATTATTCAATTTCATACCTATAATGTACATATTTACTATTTTCAGGATCGCTCTTGTTTATCACACAATATATCAACATAACTAGTTCATATAATCAGAAAAAATATCAACTAATGCTGCTGATGTCTTTATTTTCAACCATTAGCTACATAGTTCTTACTTATATGAGCTTTTCTCGAATATCATGGAGATCTGAGTTTGGTAAATATTATACTAAAATTTTTAAAAATTCGAATGTAATACAGATGCTAAATTATTCTAATACTGATATGTTTCAAGGATTGACATCTGTTGTATCTGTTGTAACTTTTGTGCTATTACTATTGCTTCCAAGAACAAATTATAATTTGAAAAATGGACAACAAACTGCAAATCTCACACCTTCGAAATATAGGTCTGTATAAATCAAATTATCACAAATTTGTTTATAAGCTAATTATTATTAAACCATCATATGTTTTATAGCTCTAAGACTATACAAACAATTATTCTTGGAATTTCATTAGTTGTTTTATGTGAAATGATGGGCCATGCGACTATAAGATACTATTCTACCATAATACTGGGAATGTTTGGGGTGTGCTCAAAATATCAACAAAATATGGCAGTGATAATATTAAATCACTTGAGGGTATTTTATGTGACCATTGTTTATTTAAAATAATTATTTGTATTTGATTGATTAATTTATTTTAGGCTGTAACAACTGCAATTTTAATGTTCACGATAGATAAAATAGGTAGACGTTCTTCTTTAATACTTGGGACAGCAATAATGGCCATCACTTTGCCATTACTAGGTATTTTATCATTTAATGACTCATATGACAACTCAATAAATTTACAAGAATTCAGGGAAAATTCTTGGATGAATGAAAATACATTACAAAATTGCCATAGAGTACTTATTGGTATGGACATGAGCTATGTAATTGAGCCTGAATTTATTACACATAAACAGAAAAAGTTAACTCATTTGTCATTAATGGAAGATAAAACTCCTTATCCATTTTTGCCAACTCCGCTAGCAATGACGGCTGAAACTCAAACAGCTAATACTATCGACTTTTTGTTTGATTGCAATCATAATAATGGTCCATGGTCGGATGATTCTGTGCCATCTAAAGCAGCTAAATTAATATTAATATTCTTATATGAATCTGGAAATGCACTTGCTTCTAATTTTATATACTGGATTACATTATCTGAAATCGCACCAAACAATATAAAAGGAACTCTTATTGGAATAATGATTGGAATACATTGGCTCAGTACACTAATTTTACAAAACATGTTTCCAAATTTCATAGGTATGATATTTATTAAACATTTGAAATATTTTTGTATTAATTTTTTTTTATGTTTCAGATACATTTTCAATATCTGGAATATTTTTCCTTCATTGTGTGGCATGTTTGATAGGTCTATTTGTATCTTTTCTTTTTATTCCTGAAGATGATGCATTATTAAACAACAAAAAGTGAGTTCTTCATAATCCCTTACATACATACATTCATAAATATGTAATATGTAAGTAATATTAATATTATTTTTATAGATTTTACATGCATTCAATGTTAAATAACTTGAGACATTTAACAAGATTTCGAAGTTCTAGAGTTGCTAACATACAAGCGCCTCAATCCACTGCAATATAACAAATATCATCTACTTAAAGGACAAGAGCATTTTATGCAATTTTGGTATCAAAGTTTAGGTTTATATTTGAATATAAAGCAGTTCATACTAAATCAAAAAACTACTATAACTTTGAAACATCATTGCGCATTCCAGGCTTCAAGAATTCATGATATTTTACCTATGCATATTCACACATAGAACAAAGACATACACATAAAAATATATCTATGCATATATATGCGGAATTTATAAAAAGGTAAGAGCTTTGATACTTATAAACTAAGCATAGATAATTTACCAAGTGTTTTTGCAAAGCCCTAATTTATAAAATCACATTCCACTTAACTTACACAGTTATAAACTTGTAAGCTTATCTGAAAAAAATACTAGTCATAAATTATGTGATATTATTAATTTGGATTGAATTTTAAATCAAATACAAGTTTTATAAATTGTTTTTGTTAGTTCTCTTCAAATTTAAGACACCAAAATGTACAAATTTAAAACATTCCTTTTCTTGATAATTATGATTTTTATATTTTAATGAAGAGATGAGAAATTATTTTACTGAATATATAAACTAAATAATAACTCATTACCTATACTATTTTTATAAGTGAATATGATGAACTAACTCAAGATATTATGAATGTAAAAATATTGGTAGTAGAAAATCTGAAAATAAGTACATAAGGCACAATTAAACTTATTTAGTTTTAATATGATATATGTACTTATTTTTTTATCTTTCATTACCTGTTATTATATACTGTTAAAGATGTAATTTTAATGCACTTTTTAGATACCACAATTAAATAAATTATATTGCATTTTAAAGAGTATTTTATCATTCTTTTTTGCTAAGAATGATTGTAGTCATATATGGTCCATGACGTAATATCAAATTATATGATATTTATTATCATAAATATTCTTTGATGACTCACAAATATGCTTGAATTTAAAAACAGAAGTTTAAATTTTTAAAGTAGAAAGAAGTGCAAAGAATACAAAAAAATAATGATAGATTATAATTGACAAGTATTTTTTATTATTTTTTAGATTTAATTCCATTAATATTAAGAAGTTTAAAAAAATGTGTTTAATTTTACGCCGGTTAACATTTAATATTAAATGGTATATTGAATTTTTGTGTATGTAAAAATTTGCAACTTCAACGAAGTTTGAAGAATCAATTTGATTTTTCAAATATACTATGTAATTTATAAGTAAGACTAGTAGTTATTTATAAAAATCATGAATAAGAATGCCTTAATACATTATATGTTTAACATATGTACTTATTTAAAATATATATAATGCACATCAAGTCAAGTGAAATAAAATGAATACATTACATTATAAATATAATGGTGTCTTTATTTAAAACTTATATTCAATTTTATTTGTATACAAATATGAGTCTCTAACAAATTTATTTACATATTAGGCACATTAATATCATTTTCCCCATATTTTGACTTTTTCAAATCATTATGAAAATCAACTTGTTTTCTCAGGGACATTTCAAATCTATCTCTTATTAAAGAGAATTTCCTTCTTGGTCTACCCGTATGTTTCTTTACTAAAGGAAAACATCTAGCAATTTCTGATATAGATAATATATCCTCACTGGAAGAACTTGATACAAGAGACTGTAGTGAAGATGATATAATTGGTTTATCTAGATACATAATATTTGTGAAGTTATCACAGTTTTTCAGCTCGTTATCACAGAGGTTCATTAATATTTTTGAATTGGTGATTAATTTGTTTCTAACAATGGAATTATTTTCATAAATAGGTTTAGTGGATTTCGGCAACGAATTTGTAATGTTGTCGGTAGGCCAAAGAGATCTTGGTTTATAGATAGATTTATTGCTGGTAGGAGATTCAAGAATATTTTCAGTCCTATGATAAATATATCTTGGAGAATTGATATCGGTGTTCTTGCGAATAACGTCTATGGTCGTAACAAGAGTACTACCGCTCTCATTTTTCTCTGGACTTTCTTCTAATTCTTCTTTTATAGGCGACAACGTAGCTGCTGGTAGAAAACCACCATTTTGATCAATTATATAAGGTTTAATGTTGAATAAATCTTCCTTACAGTCAGAACTCTTAAAACGCTTATGATTAATTTTACTCATATCAATTGGTTTACTGTTATCTAAAAGAACACACATATTTTCTGTGTTCATAGAAATATTTTCAAATGCGTCATTTGAACTAATTTCAGAAGACGTACTTGTTGCTACAGTACTCGTTATATTGTCTTGATCTCTTACAATGCTATCATCATGTAACCAAGTTTCAATATCTGAATATCCTCGCCAAGATCGTAAACCCCAAAATTCTCTGGCTATATTCACAGCGCAAACATTTTCATAATCGTGCGCAGACATAATTTCACTAGGTGCACTTAAAATTAATGTATATTTACTATCATCTGATATTTTACTTTCCACTTCACAGTTTTCATCAACGAATTCAAACCTACTGTCTAAAGGCACATTGTTAATTGATATTATTTCTATATCATTATTATCAAACGTAACATAAATAGGCTTTCTCTTTTTCTGTAAATCTACTGCGGTATCTACTTTATTAATATTATTGTCTAATTGTATTTTGTTATACAGTTCTAATTCTACAGACGAACATATACCTCGTCTTTTGCTCACAGATAGATCACAAATTTTGTCAATATCTTCAATAAAGATATCATTTTCATCAGAATCAACTGGTTTTAGACCGAGATCACTCACTGAACAAATTCCACGACGTTTTAACTTATTCTTTAAATTAGTTATAGATTCATCATTGCTCATTTCTTCATTCAGACCGGAATCATTAATAATCGAATGAAATAAAATATCATTTGATGTGTTTTCATCAAGTATTGGAGTACATATAAAAGTTGGCGTACCAGATCTGGCAACCAGGTTTTCTAAAAGTAACTTTCTATCAGTAATTTCCGCATCTGAAATATCTTTAGATCCGCTTTCCGATTTATCATTAGGACAGTTACTTCGCTTCACTGATTTTCTGCTATTTTTTTCATTTTCTGAATTTGCCACATTGTTTTCGACATTTTCTATGTCAAACGCTAATTTTTTCTTGAATTTTATTTTACCATTTATATTATAAAAATATTTATGGTACAGAAAAATTGTGCCCGCACTCATAATTGTACTACTCATCATTAATGAAGTCAAAATTATTAAAAGTTTATGAAGAGTATCGGTTTTTAGTATAAAACCTAGAGTAATACAACATATGTTTTCGATTATAACAATTAGATAATATAGCAATATCTGAAGAATTTCCAAATTGTTATTAAAATCTATCAAAACAAAGCAATTCGATAATCCAATAACAATATTGTATAGAATATTGGCAATCGATAAACCATTTGATTCAGACTTGCTAAAAATCCACACAGTGCTAGAAGTCCAATGCAAACCTAAAATTTTTTTTATTGAAAGATTATGACTGATTGATGAAAAGTACTGTAGTAAAAGTGTGAAAGAATATAATCTTCTTTACTAAAGTACCCATAAAACAAGTTAATAATATTACTCTTACCAATTAAAACTAAAGTCCAAAATTGGAAGCACATTATTAGAAGTATAAATAAAGCAATTCGTCCAGTTAACATGAAGATATTCGAAAACAAATAGAAAATAAATTGCGATTTCACACCGCATGCCAGAGTTTCTTTAGCGATCGGGCGGGATCTCAAATATTGAATTAAAATCCATACTATCGACACCGACATCAGAAACATAGAAGAAGCTGCAAATAGTATTATAATATGAATAATATAGCATAATAGCATTTTCTATGTTACACATCGTAAAAGCTCTAAGCATCGTAAAGCTCAAATTCTAGTTTTTGAGCGATCTAATAAGGACATACTCAAACATAAATAATAAAAGAATTCTAATAGGTCCGTACTAGTTTATCATAAGATTGATTTGAACAAGGTGCTTATTTGACCGTTAAGATTTTTCCTAGATTTTCACTACATCCTTTGTAGATTCTTAAATTTCTTTTCGCAAAAGGCATTTTGTCTTAAAATTAGTGAAAGTTTCACGAATTTTTTGATATGTGTAGAAATCGATTTAATGACTTATAATTTGATGAATAGGAATTGAGATTTAGCTATTTAGATAAAATTTCCAACGGTTTATTTCCGAAATAAAGTTTTTGATTTCACTAGAATCTAATCAGTGCGATTTCCATATCTTTCAAACTGACTTAGAACATATCGTTATTTTATCGATCATAGTGTAATTTCTATAATTCAAACACATTTCGTAGGGTTATAATATTTTAGGATGTTTGTTTAGATCTGAACTCGAGACCATGAACTTATCATTTCCATATGAACTATCATTTCCATATGAACTATCATTAAAAATGCCAAAAATAATAATTTAACGAAGAAACAACACGGCCGATGATTATCAAAAACAAAAACTAATCACCAAGATTCGCAACTTATCTCTCGATCAGTTTCTGGATTTTCAAAAACGATTCAGAATTTTTGTCTGAAAATTAGACGAACAGTTTTTCCTGAAAAACGGCTCGGCCTATCGTCACAGTAAAACTAGCGGTGTATGGCATCGTGCCTTAACGCAAATTGCTGGAACTTCCCATACCGTTACGAAATGTTCGACGAATATTAAATGTTTTCAAATAGATTATTATAAATACTTTACAAATTACATTACAAATTGAATTTTTTTTAGTTCATTCAAATCGGATGCTCCGTTCTGTCAAAAACTCGATTTCTAGTTTCTGAACTCTTTGCTCCGTATCTCCGTAACGGCTGGATCTGCCGTTTCCAAAAACTAATCAGTACATCTCCCTATCAATAGGATTCGAATAGGAACCATTCAAATCGGTTGATCCGTGCGCCTAAAAACGTGGACGAAAAAATGCGGACACACATACACATCCATTTTTTCTGAGGTATGCCAAAATGTTCAGAAAGCTTTAAGACGTAAAGATATGCAAAAATTTTTATTTTCGATTTTTGGCCCATTACGAAAAATTAATAATTAGCGCAAGTCCTTCCTTATCGAGTTTCATTGATAGGCTTCTTTTAAATTTTTGACATCGATTCGCCGCGTTTTTTGAAAAAACATCGACTAAAAGCCGAAAATTGGCCCACATCCACATACACACATCGAATTTTGTGATTCAGAATGATTCGAAACGTCAAGAAAACAAAATTAGCAAGTCGGATTTTCTGACGGAAACAAGCTTCTTCGGGTTACAAATAAATATCTTAAACGGTCTTCATAATTAAGTGACTACTTAAATCTTTTCCCAAAAAATAGATCGGAAATAATATGTGATCGCTTTGCGATTAAAGTATTTATGTTTGAGATAAACTGATTTCAAACTGCAATTGGTTTCCTCTCAATTTAGGGCTGCAATGATAACCGGAAATATGATAGTTGTTATCAGAAACAGTTCGAGACTGACAATAAACAATGTGATATTTGAACTTGAACGGTACTGATCAAATTGTGTCGACATAGTTCGCTTAAAAATATGTATGTAGAAATATCAACATCCATAATAAAGTTCCAGTGAACAACCAGTAAATAAAAATTATATATCAATTAATAATCAATGGTGCGATTTATTAGCACAAATAGTGTACTAAGAAGAATTTTTAATTAATAAAAATAGTGTTACAAATAGAGTTTATAATTAGTAATGAGTTTAATTCAAATATAAATTAGTGACTAGTGATTAGTGAGTAGGATTTTGAAAAACGTCCACAATGCAGCAAGCAAATAAAATTTTATATGCATTTATATTAATATCAATCTGCATTAAAATTGCAAAAATGGAAACAATTGCCAACGAGGTCAGTTAATGTAAAAACTCTAAAAAAATAATATACCAAATAAAATAATATTATTTTTCAGAAACTATTTAAATCAATTATGATAAATCGTCGTGAAACATTGAAAACACAATGTTCTGAATACAAAAGAACATCATTAAAGAACTCATTGGCTATAAAAAATATCATATTAGATAAGTAAGTGCATTTTTTTGCATGTTATATTTTAAAATCACTTATATTTTTTTCGATTTAGTTGAATACAAAACACCCACAATCTTTACATAGATAATATTAATTATATAAATATTTATGATTATTTTTCTTTGACTGATATAACATTTTTATCATGATTTCTACTTTTTTATGAAATTTATTTATTTATTTATCCGGAAATTAGGGAACATAATTTTTCCTGGTGTCCTGTTTATAAAGGTGGCTCGACTCATTGGTTATGGACAATGGCAAGTACATCACAAAAATTTGACCGGACCATTTGGGAATTTTTAAAGAATAAAATTCATATATCATCTTACACAAGGCAACTTTATGAGACTGGATTATCGCTCGAAGATAAATATAAAGTATATTTATTTGATGCAATTTCTTTTAATATATATATATATATATATATATATATATATATATATATAAAAATCAATTATTAATCATGCAGGCAATACAGAAATCAATAAAAGTAATATCTACACGCCATCCTTTCGAAAGACTATTATCAGCATATCGGGACAAGTTTGAAAGACCTAACAGAAGTTATTACTACAGAAAGTATGGCAATCACATTATTTCAAGCTATCAAAATGAACGAACAGGAATAAATTCAGTAAAGCAGCCAACATTTAGTCAATTTCTAAAATTTATCATAAGTGAGAAAAACTTTGATGAGCATTGGAGACCTTATTACATCGAATGCGATCCTTGTGGCATAGAATATGATTATATACTGAAGATGGATAATTTACACATTGAGGAAAAGTACTTATTCAAAGTTTTGAATATATCAAGAACTATTAAAAATAATAGGGATGTTGATAACATTAATCCAAATGGCCGTACAGATCAGTATATATCTAAACAATATTTTAGTAAGGTTAAAGAACATTTGTTACGAGATATTTATAAACTTTATGAAAAAGATTTTTTAATTTTTGGGTATTCACCGAATTGGTACTACGACTTGAGTATAAAATGAATCAATCCACATATTTAAAATAAATGAGTTCGATACATACCTATGTTAGGTATCCAAATTTTCTCATTAATTATAATGCAAGTATTGAAAATACTTTGTGGAACTGATTTCACTAAAAGATATAATAAGTGTAATTTATACACTTCATATCTGCTTTGATAAATGACAGAAGTGATTTCAGTCTTTATATCGATATTATGAATATAAGTTTGTAGCAGTGAAATATACCTGTAATTATATATTATTTTTAATTAAAATTGTAAATAAGTAAGTGTACATGTAAATCTTCAATGTTCTGTTTATAATTACCTATAAGTTATACCAAAAAGACAACAATGTGATATCCATTGGATTTTATCATTAATATGTTTTGATAAATACCATTTCATAGACAGAATTTGAAAGATAATTAATAACACAATATGAAATAATAACAAGAAAATTATTTCATTCTTAAATAGTTTGTAGTACTCTAATATCAAAACACCATCTAAAAATATTCATATAAAATTAATTAAAAATACATTAAAATTAAAAACATATTTATATCAAAATATATACCTATAACTAAATCAGCTGAAAGTATGCTCAATGATATAACAATACCAACAATATCAAATCTTTTGTTATTTGAACTATTATATATTTCATTTGAATTATTGGATCTACTCTTATTGCAACAAATATTAATACTTTTATTTATTCCGGCCATTTTTAATGGTTTGTATAGTAAATCACTTCGAAGTATTGTTTTCTTTTTTTCTTGTGCTTTTTGGCAGGTTGGAGTATTTGAGGAACGGTACGCTTATATTCGAAAATGCAATTAATTGAAGCATTTTCATTAGGCGGAACATAAATCTCTGAGTTCCAAACTGAAATATCTACGATTCATCTAAACTTTTATTTGTTTTCATTCATTATTTTAACAAGAATGATTTAAATTTTAACTTCCAAGCATGTTTGTTTAGCATAAATAAACAAAACTGACAACTGACTGCTGACATCCATAGATAAAAATATCAATAATACGCGGATTGGACTCACATTTGTTTGATGCATGTTAGTAGTAGTAGTATGAAGTGAGGGCAGCACGTAACGCGCTAAATATAAAAAATAAATAGAAGCGTTAGTGTTCTTTACGTATAAACTTCTTTACTTTTAATTTATATAAAATTTCTATTTTTTTTTAAATAAAAATACACGAATAATATACTAATTAAAAATAATTTTCACTGCAAATAAAAATGTATTGTAATTTAAAAATACACTGTGATAGTTTTTTATTATCCTCACATAATATTGTGAAGAAAAAAGTACAATTAAAGTAATACAGTAGTACCTTGTTTATCCGGACCTCAGTTATACAATTTTGCGATTATCCGGACTAGCAACCGCAATTAATTTATATGTATGTATATACCTACAATTTGAATTTTTACATGATTAATGATGCAGTTTAGTATATGTATGTAATGTAATCTTAGAAAACCTACATGTACATACATAAGAAAGTTTCAATTTTTTAATAAACATTATTTTCGTTGATGTTATTTTTAATAAATACACAACAATATTCTCCATACATTTGATTATACGGATTTTCGATTATCCGAATGCCTATCGACGACAATTAGTCCGGTTAATCGAAGTTCTACTGTAGTACAATTCTTAAATTTCAAATACACTTAAATTCATCAACTTCCCATAATGAATGTAAGAGCAACACCATAGATAAACAAATATATTTAGATCGCAAACGGCCGCTTTGGCATTCCCACAATTTCAATTGTTTCCGCAATTCATAGGGGCGCCACTAATTGAAGCACGTTTCACTAAATCACAAATATATAATGAAAAATGAATCATTTGTTTAGAGTATGTGTATCATAAAAATGAAAAGTGTCAGTCGTAAGTCGGCATAGGTGCGAATAGTACAGGTATTAAAGTATATTCACGTATAAATATATGTAAAACTACAGATATAAATTTTGACGTTGCCATTCGCCTACAATATAAATACAAATCCAAATCCGAATAGACATAGAAATACGAATATGAATATGAATACGAACTAGTATATGAGAATACTAATAAAAATTCTTATACATGTATGCATATGTTTATGCATATAAAAATATCAATTGCAGAAAAAATAACAAATGTAATGCATAAGATTTTAAATGACTAGATAGTGGAAATATATAAGCTTCAATAAGATAAGAGTAAAAATTACAAACGATTATAACAGCATGTTATTTATTAATTAATTTTTTGTAGGGTAAGTTATAGTAATCGTCCAAAAATCGAAAATGACAATTAATTTGTAATTTGAATCAGCCGAATGAATGGTTATCAAAAACTTTAAAGAAATTTCAGAATTTCGTGAAAAAAAGAAAAAAAAAAGTTTTCAAAAAAATTTTAAGTTTCCAAAAAAATTCCAAAAAAAATCAGTATTTTTAGAACAGGCATTTTTTTCAATATTCTAATTTTTTCAAATTTTTCAAAAATATAATTTTTCTTTTCTGAGTTTTTAAAATTTTTAATTTATAGTACAAGAAGTTGCGATGCCATGATGCACCACTAGTTATAATATATATTTTGTATATCTCACAATCATTCAGTTATGTATCTGGTATGAGAAATGATAAAAAATGTCTATACCAGAGATAACCAAGTATAAATGAATGTAAGTATACTATGAATGTGATCTATACATAGAATATATTTCAATTTTACTATTAGTAAAAATATATATTGAAAAAATGATTATAAATTCAAGTTTCAAATGTATTGTAATAAAATTATCACAAATACAAAAATGCAGTCATTTCTTCAATTAATTCAATTAATCTCTGAATGTGCTATATATTAAAAACTTTATAAAAATAAAATCCATCAAGCATCATCACAAATTAGAAAATACCAAAATTTACTCATTGTATTGCTCCTAACACCAGAACTAAGAAAACTTTAAAATTATGACCTATTAATTAGATCCAATAAATTGTATCTAATAGTGATTACCCACTAAAGTAGCTACTGTCTATAATTATATTTAATTAATGTGAATAAAATTAACTTATAGAATGTATTAAATGTTTTGATTGTTATTGATAAAAAAATAAAAGAAAATTTCTTTAATTAGGCAATAGTAATTAGTATGTACTTTGAATATATGTACGTAAAGAAAATAATTGTGACAGAATTAATCTAACTACATTTTTTGGGAAAACCCAAAGGTATTTTGTATGAATAAAGGAATATAATACAAATGCTATTAATTTCTATCAAAAATTAGTATCAAATATGAGTACTACTCTGTTGACGTAGCGAATTCCGATTCTGTTGCGCGGTTTACCTATTGATCGTATAGGTCGGGACGGTGCATGCGTACATGAAAATACAGATATCAACCTACTACAAAGTTATATTGTATAATGTTATTATGATTTGTTACATACAATAACCAATATCGTAAGATAAACACCACTTTACCCAGAAATATATGTAAAAAATAGATAGCGAGAGTTGGTTCACAATATTTCTCTAGAACCATTGTATATGTTGAAGGAATTTTTTATATCATAATGACAACAAATATAAGCGAAATTAGAGAATATTTTTGACTTTAGCAAATAAATTTTGTAATATCAGTATAAAAATAAAAGGACGAGTTTCTGTTGATTTTCTTATGTAACGATAGTTAAAAATATTTATACAATTATAGAAATATTTATAGCTTGTGCAGTTATATATATATATATATATATATATGTATATATATATATGTATAAATATATATTTTTATATAGACTGAAGGACAGTAACGTTTTGAAGCAACATAAATAAAATTGCATAATTAAACTAAATTCAATCCTTAATGTTTTTTTTCAAAAATGCCATAATCTCTTAAGAATATTATAAGTATTGGAAGAATTACTACATAAGTTTTAAGCGGATGACCAAGCCAAGCTAAGCGTATGAAATACATACAATTTTATCATGATGTGTGTGACATACTAAAATTGCACCGCAGTCTTGGATTTGAATATGTTATTTCAATATGTCATAATATTAATAAAATATTTTCGAAAGCATTGTTTTAAATTTCGATCGTCGTTTCCTATCGACCCGTTGATATTTTCACGGCCTCGGAGGTTGTGGGCCATTTCACGCGCTGCCTTCAGTAATCTACGTTCTCTCTATCAGACGTAGCACCGAAGAAAAAATTACTCAACTTATAGTATTATATCGACAAAACTTATTACATAGGATTATGGTGAAATAAATACTGATATATGATTTAATCCACATTAGGTATGCGCATGACAAAATATTTATGTTCGGGTAATAGAGAAAAGATAAAAATTTAGCCGTAAATTTTTTATGTTCATAATTATATATAAAAGCATATGAAATCCTACACCGTTATTATGTGAATGCTTCAAAAAAATTTTCATATGTTATAAATTATGGGTTTATTATTATCTTATAAATCATCCTCGCATAAAGCAGAATAATTTTAATTTAATAATCACTTATATCTTCATACTATTACAATTATATCTTATTAAATCTCTTTCAAGTTAGCTTTTTCGTTATTACTGAATTGTCGTTGATGAGATGGATTATGTATAAGCAGTAATTAATAAGTATATTCAGGGCAGGTCCTGGGGTTCTCAGCGCCCGCATGCAATTTTTTTTCTAGCGCCCCCCACCAATAATTTTAATTGTTTTAACAGTTTATCACTAAAATTATGAAAATATTTACGTAAATTCTTTAATTATTTCTGATCACTTTAGATTTAGTATATAAAAAATAGATATAATTGAACACTAGATGATTTCTTTTTTGATTCCACGTCAATAAGCAGAATAATAAATTATTAATTTGCGGAGTTATTAATCGGTTAATTGTTTCTACTGATATCGCATTGTAAACAAAATATGCTTTTATAATCTATTAAGTATTCTTGATTTAATATTTAAAAATACATATA